AATCCATCCCATTACCACTCAGCCCGTTTCTCCATTCTTATCAACGTTATATGACCTGACGATTTCAGAATCTCGGGTACGGGCTGGAAAACATTTCTGTCCTAACACTTGCAGTTGTTAATTCCACAGGGCATTTTTACAGGAAGGATTATATCGAACAGGTTTATAATAACCTGATAGTTTCTGCTAAGGTTTTGGTGAGATACTCCATGTCGTAATAATCGGCCAAGACGGCTTCGCGGCGAAAAACCCAGGCCTTCCTGTCAATTGTCATGGCATTCTCCCATTTGTGCTTTTGAAGAACACCTAGATAATTACAAGTATAATATTTGTGTTCCGTAATGTATATTACATTATTACAACATAACAAGTTGAGATAAAACGCTTTAAAAGTTAAGAGGTAACCTCAGTCGTTCCTCACTTTTTCTTCACTTTTAAAGCGAAATTTTCTTATTAGAATAAGACACATGTGCAGTGGGGGAAAAACAGAAGTGTTATGTTTACCCGGGTTATAGCGATCGTGGCACGTGTAGTATCCGCCATGTTTGCAGGAAGTTCCCTTGCCCCATCGATCATTTGTTACGACCGTTGCATTGACGGGGCTGAAAAAGATGTGTTAATTTAAGGCATTAATTTCAAAAAGTAAAAAATTGGACAGATAGCTTAATCCTACCTTTTTTGGAAGTTACTTCGTTCGTTAGTTTTTTTGAACTGTTTTGCCACTGAATACATTTTTTGAAAAGGTAGCCACGGTGCAACTAGGGCCAAGTTTGGAGGGGGTTGGGTATCGATATAGGGTTTTTCCCAGTTTCAAACGATACAAATCAGGCACGGCTCCGGGGGCGCACGTCTCCTTTTTTCAACCTCCCCCCCCCAAAAAAATACGAATAAATAAGAAGAAAAAGAGGGTGAAAGAAGAAAAAGAGGGTCGTATACGGCCTGAAATGGCACTAGAAAGCGCTTAGAATCCAAAACAAGGGCTCGCGCTCGCAGGGATTTTAGAATTTTTGCTTTAGTTCACACCGCCAACCCTTTAGGAAAATCCTGGATTACGCCCCCCCCCCCATTCAAAAATCCTGGATCACGCTTCTGCAAATATCTCGGACGTCTCCGTTATTGTTATATTAAGAGGGAACAGAGGATGAGTGACCTCCTCCTGCAGGGCGTGCTCTTTCTCTTGTTAAGCTCGTTTGCATTTTTAGATTTCTACCTGCTGTTGTACAACCACGCCAGGAATTCGGTGCTATTCCAGTAATCGGCAGTAGCCTCCCAGTCCCCGTCCGACCACAGCACGTCAGGCTTGTAGTTCTCAATGATCTCGTACAATTCTGAAAGGGCTACGTCCTGCGTAAAAACAACGTCCAGCGAAATTCAACATGACTCTTTCTGCCCAGTGGCACTAACGTGACCCTTTCAGCTTCAGAAGTAGGACGTGAATCATTGGAGGGGCATATGAGGAACATTGAAGCGTTTTTGAGGCGGTGCGACATGATACTATGGACAAATCTGGACAGCGGACAAATCTAGCAAACCTAAGGAAATGGGCGTTTTCTTAAAAGGTCATTTTGAAAACACGGTACAGTCGATGTACCATGGTCAGCTCTGTATAGGCAGATTGAAACGGGTCTGCAATTAGAACGCTTGTTGATGTGTTCTTTGTGCTGGATGGTTCAGTCAGTACAGGAAGCAGGGTTTCGATACGTTGTTTGAAAGACCACGTCTGTATGAGATCAAGTTGATAAGACTTAGTCACAGTGCGTTCAGTGACTTAGAGGAGATCCCTTTCAGAAATCGGGTGAAAATATGATATCATGCAGTCAGCATGTGAAGTCGCCTTAATTTGTGAAGTCGTTACATGAATCGATTGCTGTTCGACTTTTAGCTCATTGACAATACGGGTGTGCAGGTAGCAAGCAAAGATCTATATAAGCTAGATTTTGCTTCAGTCCGGATTTCACTCATTGCTTTCTTGGTAGCATGAAATGATGCAAGACCATAAGGGGCAGATCCAGTATTCTTCCTAAGGGTTTTTCAAGAACGAGCATTTCAAATCTGAAGAGCTGAGTTGTACGGCTCTCATTCTCTTGCAGATGGTTTGTTCTTTGATTTTCCCTTTCGGTTAGTTTTTTGTAGTTGATATTTTGTTGAATGAATATAGATAACTTTACCCGGACATATTCCTGCGTCTTGAAGCCACCCTGCTTGTCTTGCAGATACAGCGGGTTAAACCATTCGAACAGCGAGTAGTAGAGGCCAAAATGAACGTCTTTGGCATAAGTCCTGAAAGCTGTGGCAAGCTCGCCTTGAGAAAGATTAAATTCACCTGTGTACATAATCTAGGATCTGTTTCAGAGAAAGATGCAAGTATGCACAGAAACTTTTACGAAACTGTAAGATCATGCAGTTCTAATTACTCACCAACTAGATCTCTCTTGGGACCAACATCCATGGAGTTCCAGTTCCAGGAATACTTGGAGGGCCAGTTGGTAAAACCCTCGTGATGTTTGCTGGTCAACACCACGTACCTGACGAGAAGATATTCACAAGATAAGGTAGGACCACAAGAGTGTAATGCCATTTTTCAGGGTGCTTGAAATATTTTGATTTTTGTGTCGATATAGGGACTTCTGTTCATGCAGAATTCACGGTTATATAGCTTTACAGAAAAGTGCAGTGTTATATCTATTTCCACTGGGGAAAAAGTTTTTTTTTAGATGTTCCATTGTTTGAGAACGCTACCATGAATAGACAATTCCTACAATCTCTATCGTAACTTGTGAATGTGAGCGCACAGTTTTCTACGGCTATATTTTGAATTCATATATTTATATATGAAAGCGCACAAAATGTATGCTCAATTTCAGCAAACAAAAAGAAAAATTTTCAACATGTTTCAACTTGAACAGTGAATTTTTAACGCGTGGTATTTTGTTACTGGTTATTGAAAATTTGCTCAGAATGTGCTTCAGTGTAGAAATTCATGGTACGCACAAAGCCTTTAAGCATGGTATGGCAGATGTGAACATGACAAAACCGACAATCAAAAACCAATTCAAAAGCCACTGTAAATAGTGCACTTACTTAGCTCCAGACGCTTGGACGATTTCAGCGAATGCCTTCGGTTCGTAGAACTCCGTCGTGAAATGCGGCGCGAAGTCGGCGTAGGTGAAGCCCGGTGGGTAGTTCTGCTTCATGAAATTGACGTAAGCCGCATCGTGGGCGCCCTGCCAGTACCACCAGAACCACGCCGAGCCGAAACTGGGCACGGAGAAGACCCCCCAGTGCATGAAGATGCCTATCTTGGCCTCGTCGTACCAGGGAGGCAAAGGTCTGGAGTCGAGGGAGGCCCAGTTGGGCTCGTACTTGCCAACAGCGCCCAGAACTGGAGGCCAGACGCATATCGCAACAAGGACGAGGGCGGATATGAGCGCCATGTTGCTTTGCCACATTCAACCTTAGCGCAGTTAAGCAGTAAACGAAGGGTCCCAGTCTCGTGACAGTTTATGATCTGGATTAATATCAGGTGGTTCCACTTGAGGTTATCTGTGCGCACACCCCCCAGGTATGTTTGTACTGAAAAATTCCATTCTTTTCAATGTACGTGGACTTCTGTCAAGTAGCTCTACAGGTCTATGAAACTATATCGTCCAACTCAGAACGAGTTCAAGTTCATAGTACAGCTGGGTAAAACTTGACGATTTTGAAAGAATTCACAGTCGGGACGGGGGAGCGGAGAGAGCGTGCGCTTATGTTCGTTGGGTAAAAAAACTTAACAAAATTTGAAAGGACGTGTACTGAAAATGTTCGTGTCTATAAGATCACAAGATCATGATACATTGGAAATTTAAACACAAAATATATTGTAGATTGGCAAGCAATCAAACTGATTAAGTCAAACCAATTTGATAGGTACATTATAGGCACTGAAAACTATTGCAGAAAATGGCACTCTGCAGATGTCTCCCAAGATCGGTACAATCAAATTAATGCTGTGCGTTTTAAACGTAACATCGTGTCAACTGCCCTAATTTACAACATGAAAGGTTTAAAGAGGACACTTTTAACTTGATTCATCTTATTTCATATCACTTTCAGCAATCAAAATTACGGGGTTTTCAGGCGCTTTCTCAGTGAAAATGGGTACTGCTTGGCATGTCTCAGTGCACTGCACATCTCCTTTGAAATCCAATTGTAAAGGCGAAATGTGCGTTAGGTTGTTTCAGTGAGGTCGATTTCTAGAGACAGACTAGAGTAAGACTATGCATGCGACAAGAAACTTGAGCCAGGTCAAAACCCTGCATTTTCAACGGCAGCTCTTCGACTTTCACTTGTGTCTTGAATACATGTACCACAGTGAACCAGTTTATGTATCACTTCATAAAACAGTTAATGAAAGTTGTTAATAATTCAGAAAGTGGCCCTCAAAGATTTTGGTTTCTAGACCTGGGAGCTGGCTATGGGGAAAATTAATAAGAAATTTAATCTGCTGTGATTTACCTTCTAAAGCATTTGCACAAAAATGTCTACAATTGAAGCAGACAACTCGTTTCATCGCAGCTTTATATTGTTTACACAAAACCAAATTCAGAGATATCGCCCCCTCATTTATATTTCTGTACGGGCAATAAGATCCAAACAATACTGGATCTTTCTTGCCATCCATTAATGGAGAAAGCTCCGGCTAAGATTTATAGATAATTTTGCAGGAAATGTTTTCTGGTGATATTAAAAAAAAGAATAAGAAAAACAAAAAAAAAGTACAATTTAGTGCCAGTTGATACTGAATAGCATGTCGACATATGATTCGAATTAAAAAACAAAAGACCGATTTTCTACTGTTACTACTTACCGTGCGAGAGCATTGATTCTTAAATATGTGCATATATACCTGTACCTCTTAATGAACTGAATCAAGGGGCATGGCCAGGCTTTTGTTGACCAATCACTTAACAGTTTTTTGAAACAAAAATGTCTTGCCACTCGTTATTGGTTCCAAAAATCCAAAATTTAAAGTAACCTGCCATAGAAGAGAAGACTGTGGTCAACTAAAGAACAGACAAGTGAAAATGACAATAATAACTTGTAAAATAAGTTTTATTTGCCAATAGAAAAATTGCGTTGAAATATGCAAATTGATGTTAATCAATTAATACAGTATCACACGCGAAGTGTGAGTCAATAGTACGAAATACTGCATGTCAGCCAATTAAACGTTCTATCAACTCAGTCCCAAACCAGCATTAATGTAAGTTGATGAACTTCATATCCATCAAATAAAACCTTCAATTAAATAAATGATCATTGTTAACTGTTCGTAGAGGCCAACAACAGTTATGCTCTTTGGTGATTCGTGATAATAGCTATACAACAGCTATATAATGGCAATATTGGATTTATCTGTTAAACTGCAAGTGGATATTTTTTGGTCACAGCAATAACCCCCAAGATAAGTATACACAAGCAGTGCATTTGTATACAGGATTGTACTTAAGAGGTTTATTACATACAAAAATTTAAGTACTAAGTGCTAATCACATTGTAGCGGTACTGTTTCACCCACTTTGTCTTTTCAGTAACGGAGACAACTTATTTTGCCGCTATGGAACTTCCCTTGGGTTAGGTTTACTAGTTAAACCATTGGTCGATCATTCGAACACTATCGACAAATGTATTAATTTTCTCTCTTCCAAAGTCTGTCGGTAAAAGCACACCTCAGTCAGACAATGAATGCATTTCTGCAGGATATCCGCGATAAAAATTGTAAGGTCTTATAATGAGCACACCATGCTGTGTTTCAGTATCAGACTTTTTGGAAATTAGCAACTGTGTTATTGAACTGCCTCCCCGCCACCCCGCAAAAAGTAATCAGGGGAAATATTCGAAAGAGGAAGAAAAATGCTATTGTACAAAATACTGAAAGAAAAAAGTTTAGTTTGGTAATCAAATGGAAATAATACGAGGAAATTTTAGGGCCAGTATTGTTTCTTGATGGCTGTGTAATACCTACAGCTTTTTGACAACTGCAGGTATAGCCAGTCAGTACCTGTGCTTCTAGCACATCACTAGGTTGTCCATCTTGATGACCCACGCCCACTGACATGGCAGCTGAGCCTCGTTCAGGGCGGGCATGGTGATGTTGAGTCCCTTACCCGATGGCAGAGGGCGCCACTGCAGCGGCATATTGTAGCCTAGCATGGACACCTTCGTCTGACCCACCTTCCCCATAGGAACGCCCAGGTCCAGTTCGTTATTGGCCGGCCAGTCCAGCACGATGGCGTAAACGGGGCCTTCCTTTGTGGTATACCTAAGTTGAAGGGCAGAGATGTACACGATTATTATCTTTAGAAAAAAGACGTTTCTCCATCGACCAAGACTCTGCAGTTTTGTGATCGTCGCGACCTGCTCGTAGGGAAGGCTTATAAGCCCTAGCAAATTCGAAAGTGCACGAGCAAGAGTGGCTGGTTGGTTGGACTGGGAACGGATAGTCTATGCAAAAGATGTGGAATTGCCTATGGAGGTTATTTAATAATCCCGCTCTGGTGGAAAGTCCTTCTAATGAAATCTGATTTGCTTGTCCTTTGCTGGTACCCTGTGAATATCGACTTCACAAACAGAATTACCATTACTTAGTCTCCCGTCCAGCCCTAATCACAACGCCCCTGCCGTTGGAAGGTACAGGCTGCAGACCTATTTTGTTCGACCGACATTTATAAGAGAATATTTAAACGAGATGTCTTCTGTACAATTCATAAACGGGGCTCACCATACGCCTGGTGTCATGGTGTCATTTTGTGCAACCCAAGGCTTTGTCGAGTAGACAGCTTCGCCGTTGACCTTCAGCCAGGTACCCATCTGACGCAGTCGCTCTTCAAATATCGGCACGATGCGACCGTCATGAGTGGGGCCAATGTTCATCAGTAGGTTGCCGCCGCAGCTGTGAACGGAGAACATCCACAAATTGTTTCAATGTGTGGGAAAACCTGTCACGAGACTGGTCACGAGACTCAAGACTGGCAGTCTCGAATTTTTAGAGCACATTTACTTGTGTTTGGATTGTCAATGGGCCATTTTGACTTTCGGGTTTTAAAGACCAAATCAATTGTCCTCATTAAGACCAATCGAGTTTCACCCTTAGAATCTCGTCTCCATGCCGCTTTAATTCTGCAACCCATCCCACCACTCAGTTCGTTCAGGCCTCCTTTCAACGTTATGACCTAATGATTTCAAGCTCGGGTACGGGTTGGAAAACATTTCTGTCCAAACATGTACAGTTGCTAATTTTTTTCAAAGAGGTCATTGATGTCAAATGCACAAAGCATTTTTTACGGGAGGAATTCGTCGAACGGGTTGTTAATAACCTGATAGTTTCTGCTAAGGTTTTGGTGAGATACTCCATGTCGTAATAATCAGCCAAGACGGCTTCCCGGCGAAAACCCCAAGACTTCCTGTCAATTGTCATGGCATTCTCCCATTTGTGCTTTTGAAGAACACCTAGATAATTATAACAATATAACATTTGTGTTCCTTTTATTTTACATTAACAGAGGAAAATACTTGAAATGCGCTCTCTTATACAAGGAAAAAATTCTTTGTAGTGGGTGCATAAAACTTGCTTGAAGAGCGAAATTCAAGTTCCTCTTTCCATTAAGGGCGTTCATATTGTATGCATTTCGTGTAAGCTAATACAAACAATGAGTAGCAGATAGACGAAGATAAGATAAATTGGCCGTTTTGTATAGTTCCTGGTCTGGTGCTTAAGAGGTAACCTCACTCGTTCTTCCCCCTTTTTCATTTGTAAAGCGCAATTTTCTCCATTGGTCTTAGACACTCATGGAAAAAAACACAGAGGTGTTCTGTTTACCTGGGTTATAGCGATCGTGGCACGTGTAGTATCCGCCATGTTTGCAGGAAGTTCCCTGGCCCCATCGATCGTTCGTTGCGACCGTGGCATTGACAGGGCTGAAAAATAGATGTATCGAACGCATTAATTTAAAAAAAGTTTCAATGGACCTATAGCTCAAGCTAATCTTCTATTTACCGAGTTTTTTAGTTTGAAAATTGATGGTTTCAGAAAACATCTTTTTTTTTCTTGTAAGTTAGCCAGGGGGGTGACGAGGTACACTTTTGGAGGGGAAACTTGGGTGTTTCATTTTCTAATATCATTTTTCGTTCGGGTTGATCCTAGTCTCAAACAATACACCCTTTCTTGGTCAAATATGACCCGAAACGGGTCATAATTTGACCCTGAAAAGGGCCAGGCCCAATGGGGCCCAGATTCCGGGACCCTGGAGTTTCAGAGTGTACAAATATCTTGTAGGTCTTCATTGATTTATTTTAATAGGGGCAAAGAGGATGTGTCCTTCGTGTGTCCCTGCCCCTGCAGGGCGTGCGCTTTCTCTTGTAGAGTTCGTCTGCATTTCAAATTTCTACCTGCTGTTGTACAACCACGCCAGGAATTCGGTGCTGTTCCAGTAATCGGCAGTAGCCTCCCAGTCCCCGTCCGACCACAGCACGTCAGGCTTGTAGTTCTCAATGATCTCGTACAATTCTGGAAGGGCTACGTCCTGCGTAAAAATGGGAGTCTGTTCAGGAACTATCTTCCCAAGGACTTTTGTAAAACGAGTTTTTCGAGTCTGAAGAGCTGACCTGTACCGCTCTCATTTTCTTGTAAATACATGTAGTTTGGTTCTTTGATTTCCAGCTCGGTCATTTTTCTCTGGTCCACATTCTATTAACTGAATTAAGAAAACTTTTATACCCGAACATATTCCTGCGCCTTGAAGCCGCCCTTCTTGTCTTGCAGATACAGTGGGTTGAACCATTCGAACAGCGAGTGGTACAGGCCAAAATGAACGTCTTTGGCATAAGTCCGGAAAGCTGTTGCCAGCTCGCCTTGAGAGAGAAAAATAGAGTCTTCTTCGTGAGCCAAAGGCATTTTTAACTGTCTGTATGTGTAAGTATCGTATAGTCTGTGATTTTTTTGCGAAGGAAACAGCTCAGATGTTGCTCGAGCACCGTGATGATACATGCAACAACACCATGAATGCAGCCGCGTTTTCGTGGATATGGTCACAGTCCAAATACCTCCCTTTCCTTTCCAGTGAGCGATGGTACATAAAAAGTTGGTCACAATTAGGCTCAAAGGGGCACTGATCATATAGCGCGCGTTAAACTAACCAATTTTGCGCAGTTGCTGCACAAACAGTTGGCAAGTGATCGTACGTCTGAATCTTTTGCTACATGACCGCAAGATTGTCGGACGTGGGTCCTGAACCATCATATGCATCAGATCAAACCCATCTGTGTGCATAATCCAAGATCTATTTCAGAGAAAGATGCGAATATACATCGACGCGATATTTTTTTGAAACTGTAAGATCATTCTAACTGCTCACCAACTAGATCTCTCTTGGGACCGACATCCATGGAGTTCCAGTTCCAGGAATACTTGGAGGGCCAGTTGGTGAAACCCTCGTGATGTTTGCTGGTCAACACCACATACCTGATGAGAAGATGTTTACAAGACATGGCAGGCCAAAAGAATATTATTATTTTTTTAAATGCCATTGGCACTGTTTTTTTCGTATTGCCACTTTTCAGGGTGTTTAAACATTTAGATTTTTTGGTGATGTAGGGATTTCTGTATCATACAGAAATCACGGTTTTGCTGCTTTATAGAAAAGTACCTTTTACAGAAAATTTAAACAGGGCTTCAACGGGGGAAAAGGGTTTCTGAGATGCTTCATTGTTTGAGAACGCTACCATGAAAGGACAATCATTACTATGTCCATTGTAACTTGTGAATGTAAATGCACAATTTTCTAATGGTTACATTTTGAGTTCCACATGTATCCCAAATGCAGTTGTCTGAAAGCAAAAGGAAAATTTTGAAGTTAAAAAAAAACTCAAATGATGCGGTGATTTCATTTTTAAAAGGTGGTATTGTCTTACTGTTGTATATGGTTCCGGGGAAATTTGCTCAAAATGTGCTTCAGTGTAAAAATTCAAGGTATGCACAAAGCATTTAAGCCAAATTGCAGAAGTGAAAATGACCAAACTGACAATCAAAAAACACCGCAGGTAGTGCACTTACTTAGCTCCAGAGGCCTGGACGATCTCAGCAAAGGTCTTCGGGTCGTAGAACTCCGTCGTGAAATGCGGCGCGAAGTCGGCGTAGGTGAAGCCCGGCGGGTAGTTCTGCTTCATGAAATTGACGTAAGCCGCATCGTGGGCGCCCTGCCAGTTCCACCAGAACCACTCTGAGCCGAAGCTGGGTACAGAGAAGACCCCCCAGTGCATGAAGATGCCTATCTTGGCCTCGTCGTACCAGGGAGGCAAAGGTCTGGAGTCGAGGGAGGCCCAGTTGGGCTCGTACTTGCCAACAGCGCCCAGAACTGGAGGCCAGACGCATATCACAAGAAGGACGAGAGCGGATATGAGCCCCATGTTGTTTGCAAACGGCTCTGTTAAGTTAATTTATTGAAAGAGCAAGCGCAGATTGTTGAAATGGTTTATTGCAAGCTCACTGCTTTGCCAGGTTCAACGGCGCTGCAACTGACAAAGAGCCTCTATCTCGTGACAGTTAATGTGATCTGGATCCCTCCAAGTGGTTGCGCTCGAGGTTATCTGTATGTACACAGCACTAGGTACGTTTGTACCGAACAACTTAATTTGTTTAATTCTACGTTGACTTTTGTCAGGTAGCTCTACCGGTCTGTAAATAATTGGCCCAACTGAACATGAGTTCAAAGTTCAATGGGAAACTTGGTGATATTTGAAAGAATTCACCGTCGTGACGGGGTAGCCTGTGGAGAGGGGTGTGCGCATGTGCCTGTACGTGCGTTGGGCCAAACGTCTGCGTTGGCTGAAGAATTTTCAAGTTAAAAGGTTGTATTCATGTATGTAATTAGGTAGGGCCGTAGAGTTGGATATATATCCAACTCTATAGGTATGTTTTGAAAATGTCCATGTGTACATGATCGCAAGATCATGGTACACCGGAAACTAAAAAAGCAAGATATATTGCAAATTGTCGAGCAACCAGATTAGTAAATTAATGCGATTTGATAAGTACGTAAGGTGTAGGCACAGAAAACAAATGCACAATAGACACTCCAGATGCGTAAAAATAGTGGGTAGGCCTATTTGACGTTTGCTGTGATGTGTCCCCTCAAACGATGCAATCAAATACCAGCCATTTTAAACGTAATACAAGGTCAATTGGTGTCTTTAGAACGTACATGTACATGGCTTTAAAATGAGGACACTCAGAGCTGGATACTTTTTATTTCATCTGATTTTCATAAAATGTGGTTTGTGCATGTGAAAAACCCTAAGCCAAGTCCAAAAGCTGCATTTTTCAACCGGTTGGTTCTTCTATTTTCACCTATGCCGTAAATGCAAGTATCGCAGTGAATCGGTTTGCCAGGTATCTTCAAGGGTTGGTTCCAACGCAGTTAAAGCAAAAAAAAGTTGGCTTGGCAAGTAGGCCCCCTATTCATTATTGTAAAACTCACTGAACAAAATTACCAGGTGATACGTTTCCGCGCATGAAAAAAATGCAGATTCCTCTCCAGCTCTTTTGGGGTTAAGGCTACCATCCCCTCTTAGTTCTAAGAACATGTTCTGAAATTTGATACAATTCACTGGTCTGTGCCTCCCACTCAGAAATTACAGAAAGGCAAAAGTTAGCGATAGTCCGTCTTGGTCATTGTTTTAACTGTAACCAAACCCATTGTGTGCCCCCATCTGGGAATGAGGGCGCCTCCTTGTGCGCCCGACAAAATGTAGCCCAGTTACGTCAACAGACGTAATTTCCAAACTTCTTACCACTTACACAACATTTGCAGACAAAAGACACTATTTTCTCCATCTAAAAAAACCCGCCTTCCTCAATTTTTTAATGCTTTTATCCACATGTCAACTTAATTTCCACAAATTTCTAAAAAGCCTGTCACTGTACGAACTCCAACCATATTGACAACCATACTTACAAGACTTATTTTAGACCTCCATAGCAACTGACTAGGTAAACTAAAAAAAATAAATCACAAAGTCACCATTACTAACTATAATATCATTATCATTCGTCCTAACTTATTGAAATATACTGAAATCAGAGGATTTGGGACTGTTAGGGTTAAGTGTAACTTTAGAGTTGATATAAAAACACTGTTACAACAAAATATTCTTATAAAAAGCAACTTTTGTGAAAAACGGTTTCTTGAATTCCCTTGTTTTTCTTTGCTTTTCCACTCCTTTAACACTAAAATACCTGGTTGCAATAACAGTTCTTTGTCTGGTCCATGCAACTTTGTTGCACAGTTGACTGTAGTTGTGACTTTAAGCATAACTATATTAAATTTACAGTTTTGGCTCTCGCAGGATCCAAAAGCGAACGACAAAAGCCAGTGCCTGTACTTCTACAGACTGTTCCAATGCATTAGACTCAACTACATGTATTTCACAGTTGTTTGTATTGAAACATAAAAATATAAACTTTATCAAGATAAACAGAATTATAAAAACCAATCTCCATAAAAGAATTGAATGGACTTACTAAATGTCAAACATTTATGGTAAAAAACTGACAAACTAACAAACATCAATCAAAGTGTTTTGAGAACACTTCTGCTACCATCATTGACTGCAACTACAACCGTAACCATAGAGTTTTAACTACAAGCATAATTATATTCAATTTACAGTTTCTAACTGTGGCATGATCCACAAGGAAGTCTACTTTTGGGGCATGTTGGGGCCATGGTCATTTTCAACCACTGTATGATATTGCCTGATGCCCATTTTGTACACAGGCTACCAGGGAAAAATGACCGCTGGGTGACAAATGGCTGTTGCTCCAATGTACTCCTAATTGTAGAATTAGCCAATAAAAACTTCAACTGTTATCCCTGTCGTAACTGCTGAGGTAACTAGATTCTTTAAGTACCATACAAAATTACTCTTTTGCCCATTAGCTATATTTTACCTTAAAGTAAGCTACAAACGGGTACATAATCACTTCGGACAGCCCCCCCCCCCATGGTGGAAATAATACTCTATTGTAAATGCTAAGAAAAAGCATCAGGGGCCAGTTTTTGTAAAAAAAAACAGCAAAAGACCTGCACAGTGCTTCTTGGGAGGGAGGTTTCATGATGCTCTGTAACCATGTGTAAACTGTGCATTAGGCCCCCTCAAAAAAAGTCTCCAGTTTTCTGGTCAGCACGTGTGTCACCGTAGACCTATGTGTTGGCACTGAAATAAAAAGGCTTTTTATTTGGCATAAAACGATGTCAAAAAGTTGCCAAACTTGCTTGATCGACTGAAGTTCAGCTACTGTGTAATATTTATGTGTTTACGATAGGTACGGTTGAGTAATATGTACAGTAAAGGAATCCCTCTAGGTCCCAATACATTTACATGTAGTTGGGCAGCCTTTTTCTCATGACATCATTTCTCCATTACACTATTACGTCTGGGAACCAGACAAATGAGGTGGTTTTATGTCCTGTGTACATGTACAAGCTGAAAATGCTTTTAAACAGTAAAAGTATGGAGGCCAGTCTATTTTAGTGTTGATAGTGGCCGGTGTTATGTGCGCAGGCGGTCATGATGGACATCACGTGTTATATACGTACATCATTTACGGAAAAAAAAGTGAGTGTGGAAAAAAGCTTTGTCGCCGCGCCACTTTCGGAGTCGGCTCCTGACCAGAAAACAGAGACTTTTTGGCCTTATTACTGCACTGTTTGCATTTTGATGACCCATGCCCACTGACATGGCAACTGGGCTGGGTTCAGTGCTGGCATGGTAACCACGATCCCCCCGCCGGATGGTGCTTGTTTCCACTGAAGGGGTATGGAGTAGCCGAGCATGTTTATTTGGGTCTGGTTGGTTGCTATGGGTGCACCGAGCAGCAGCTGGTTGGTGACTGGCCAATCCAGAACAATGGCAAACACAGACAGCAAGGACCCCTCCATTTTGGAAGTGTACCTGTTGAGACAATGAATAAACTAATGAAAAATCATAAAATATTTGGCAGGTGGAAACGTTCAAGTTTCCTCAACTAACACATTTAGAGTTTTGCAATGTGCATGATACAAAGATTTATTTGCCAATTCACTGTCTTGAGAGCATTATATGAACAAAATTGAATCACCCAATGACACAACATGGCTACAGTGGTACGGCAAGATGTTGTATATTCAAGAGTTGTATCGAGCTGTTACATTAGTCCCACATTCTCCAATCAGGTCACAAGCTGTTCAAACAACCAGCAACAATGGCAATCCTGCATCATTGTTCAATCTCTCTTTCCTGTGTTCCGACTTTCCTGTCATGACTGATTTGATCGTGACCCTGAATGTTTCACGTGTTGTCCACTGGGCTTGCCTGGGCAGACTGAAGTTTATGAGGGTGTCCAGTCCATCATGAAACGCTGGCCTTGCCTTCCACCATCCACTCCTTAGGTTTATGGTTTGATTCCCACTAAAGATACCAGATGAGGCCATTTCCCGGACCACCATCAACTTATGGAGTATCATCCACACTGACACTCAGAGTTTTATCCATGCAGTTAAGACACAAACTGCTCCTTGTACAATCCAATTCACAACTCAAAATTTCAATATAGAGTCTTTGCAGTTGTCAATGGCAAAGGTGAAAATTAATTTTTTTTGGGAAAAGAAAAATTTAAATTCTTTCTTTAAACAAGTTTAAAGTTTCTTTAAACAAGTTTAAAGTTTCTTTAAACAATTTCAACTATGCCATTTATAATCTGGGTTTTTCTTTCCTTTCAATTATTCTGTTCAACTAAAATATTAAGGCACCTTTACTTACCAGACATCTTTGGTCTTTGTGTCGTTTTGCACTCTCCAGGGCTTGGATGCATAGATGGCATCACCGTTGACCTTCAGCCAGGCACCCATCTGACGCAGTCGCTCTTCAAATACTGGCACAATGCGACCGTCATGAGTGGGGCCAATGTTCATCAGCAGGTTGCCGCCGCAGCTGCAGTAAATTTTAAAATGGTACACTTGTCGTCACAGTTTTCACAAAAAGACAATTTTCCCATCGGATTGCAAAACATTAGTTTTGAGAAAATTCCATTTGAAGTTGGTCTCTTTTTCAAACACTTAATTTCCTAGAATAAGCATTCCTTTAAATTCACCAATACTACTCCATGAAAGAGGGAAAGTTATATGACACAAAACTACAAAACTAATATTTCTTTAATTAAAGTTCTTTATTTTGTAAACAAACAAGATTGTCTGTTCGTGAAATGCTAATATTCGTGTGACTTTTGGTCTCTTCGAGAACACACAATACACGTTCTTGCCATAGCGCATGCCAGGTGCAACATTGTTACATTTGTATATACATTTCTGGAGTCAAATTGTCTCTTTGTGAAAACTACAAAACCAGTTTTGCCCATGGTTTTGATCTTTTTGCCAATGCTATATCTATGGAAGACAAAATTGTCTCTTTGTGAAAACCAAAAATGCAGTTCAGTTGAACATTACCCCACAGAGATCACCACGATTTGGGTGATTTCAGTAGCTCAAGTTTAGTAAAAAATGATAACATCTAGTTTTAAGCATTGCGTGGCCTAGTTGATTTTGCCAAAAAACAGAAACTTGAAAAAAATCAGGATTTGGGGTCAAATTATCTCTTCGTGAAAACTGTGACATTGTGTCTGACTACAACCAAGAGTTCTGTTGTAGTAACTAACCCCCCCCCCGGAAAAGAAATCTCTGGAAATGATTATGGAAAACCTCCACAGCTTTGGTAAAATGAAGTGGAGAATAGCTTCAACATGACCTTGTGGTGTGCCAATGAAGCTTACCGTCAGCATTGTAGTGGGGAAAACAACCCAACAATGCAACCAGTCACACGTAACAGGGTGACCTGTGACACAGCAATGCTTTTGTTACAGTTCAATAACATGACTTGATATCAGGCTGGAGGACTTGTGTTACGACAATGCACGGTACAGTGCTGTCCTACCACAACAAATACCATGGTGCTCAGGCCATGCCATTATGTCTATGAAACCTTCCCAGGAGCCAGGTCCTGCACAATCAGCCACAAAGGTTTAGACAAGTTTTGGTAAAGGCATTGCATATGTAAATCCCATTCTGTTGCTTTTCATGGGGTGTATTTAATCCCCCTTGTACTACATACTAGTTACATCAGTTTGATATTACTGATCGCGTAAACTCTCTGTTAAGGTTTACACTGCATATGACTTTTGGAAAAAAAAATGATCACTCATAGAAATGAATGCAATCTATAAAGGAAAATGAAGAATATATGCGAGACAAAAACACCAGATCCTTCACCTTATGGTTTGAGCAAGAATTGCAACCAGTTCATCTATGCTAAGATAATCGGCGAGGGTAGCTTCACGACGGTAGCCCCATGACTTCTTGTCGATGGTCATGGCGTTCTCCCACTTGTGTTTCTGCAGGGTGCCTGCGGTAAATAATAATAGTGGATATTTATATAGCGTACATATCCCTCACAACTCATGCTCAAGGGGCTGTATTATAATTATCCCTGCACATTGGGCTCCAACAACTGAGCATTCCTGAAACCATCTCAGCTCCCTGGGGAGTATACGAGCTGACGCTGCGATATCAAGTGCACGTGGCTAACATAACCACATCTACCCTCACAGGTACCCATTCACTCCTGGGTGGAGAGAGGCACTTGGGGGTAAAATGACTTGCCCAACATTGCAGCAAGCTGCCACCAGCTGGATTTGAGCCCTGACCCTATGATCAGAAGCTACAAGCCCTAACCACAGGCCCACTTGCCCCCACACGAATCACACGAAAAGTCACATAAAAAGCCGTTTAGATAGAGCCTGCAGTTCCTTATGCAGTCAGTTTTCACAGATGAAATGGACCAATATGCTTTTGCTAGTTAATTGACAGAATTCAGTTTCCCTTGAAATGACTGACCCTTGAACTCTGTTTATGTTGGTCCATCTCTAGAGCTCTCTACCATGAATATACTCTGGAAAACTATAATCAGTGCATGCACAGAGATAGGCCCTTCAAAAGAGTTCACAATTTGGATTGCAAGTTTAGAATCAATTAAAGTTGGGTAGAGTTGTCCAGGTCTATCCCAGAAAATATCACTTTTTCCCCTGAACAGTTTAACCCTCATATTGAGGATAAGTCACAGGTCACAAATCTTTGAGAGAGCGTCCTCTAGCAGCAGTACACAAGTTTCATGCTTACCTGGATTGTACCTATCAGAACAGGTGTAGTATCCGCCGTGTTGGCACAAAGTCCCGCTGCCCCATCTGTCGTTTGTTACGATGGTGTCTTTCACTGGACTGTACAAATTTAAAATAGTTTCATGTATGCGTGAAAATCCTCTCCAAAATGTATCTTAAGGTGATTTCTTTTAATGGGAATTCAATTTTTTTTAATTTTGAGGAATGACTTTAGGTGAAGTTCAGCTGTTGGTTGTTTGAAATGTCAAGATTCTTTTCTACAAGATCCTACAGCAGTTACACATTCTGTTTGGATATTAACGCTTGCCCGAAGAAAATAAACCTCATTCCAAATAGGTCAAGAGTTTAACTGGTTTTGTTTTGGTCTCACCTACTGTTGTAGAGCCAGGCCAAGAATTCTGTACTATTCCAGTAATCCGGGGTGGCGCTCCAATCTCCATCGGACCACAGCAAGTCAGGCTTGTAGCTCATCACAATCTCATACAACTCAGGCAGGCAGATATCCTGCAATGCATCATGACACTGCCGTCAGGACACAGCTGAGCAAGTTCTGCTGTTTGGACCAGGGCCAGGGAAGGGGAGTGGTTAGGGGAGGGAGTTTGTTAAATGGGAAAAACATGCTAGGGGATGCACTGAGCTCCTGAGAAGGGATCTCAGACAAACTTAAGGCTCCACAGAAAATTTCACAAGAAGAAATTTTGAGTATCTTTAATTCCTAATGCCACTTTAATGTCTTCATACATACCATATGGAGTAAGCGGTGGTGTTTCAGATGTCTAAAATAACACCACTTAACCTATTTTGTAGAGAAAATGGTCTTTCGGAGTGGCCTTTAAAGGCTTAGGTTTTCAAACTGTGGTTTACATTGAGCAAGTGCTTTACAACTTTTTTGGGGGGGTCTAAGTTGATTAAGCAACTACCCGATCATCAAACTCAGCATCACCTGGACATAAGCCTGTGTTTTGAATCCAGCCTTCTGGTCTTGTAAGAACAGTGGATTGAACCATTCAAACAGGGAGTGGTACAGGCCAAAATGAACATCCTTGGCGGTGGTCCGGATCGCTGTTGCCAGCTCACCTGCAGGGCAAGAAATTAGAGAGGAAACATTCTCATCAATGCAGCAAATTCCTAAAAGAATTTTTTTAAATCTGATTTTTGCTATTTAATTTCCAGTGTTGGAGGTCTCGAGACCTGGTCTCGGTCTCAAGACCATCTCGAGACCTTTTTTTGAGGTCTCGGTCTCGGTCTTGGTCTCGGCCTACAAGAGTCTCGGTCTTGGGAGGGTTGGCCTCGGTCTCGGGAGGGCTGGTTTCGGTCTTGGTCTCGGTCTCGAATGCCTTGGTCTCGGTCTTGGACATAAAGGTCTCGACTACAACACTGTTAATTTCCATTCCAATTTCCTGAGCTCACCAACTAGATCTCTCTTGGGACCGACATCCATGGCGTTCCAGTTCCAGGAATACTTGGAGGGCCAGTTGGTGAAACCCTCATGATGTTTGCTGGTCAAAACAAAGTACCTGCATGGACAAATGCGACTTCCTCACACATCTAGTGTACTTAATCAATACTAATATAGATACCGCACCCTTGAACAAGATAAAGAAACACCAGATCTCATTTTCATACGGGTGATTCACAAAAATGTGCCTCCAAGAGTTTGCAACGCATTGGCCAATCATGATGCGCGAAATCTGTCAACCCAATGCGCATTCGGAAAGGGTCGACAGATTTCGCACGTTGTGATTTGCCAACGTATTGCAAACTCTTGGATGCGCACTATTGTGAACAGCCTGTATTGTATTCAAATTCTGCGTAGTACATGTGTGAAATTCATTTCCCAGTTAAGCATCTGAAATAAAATCCTGCATCATTTACAAAACAGAGCAACAATCAGTGAGGTGATTATCATGATATCATTTCATTGGCTGACATAACCACATTCACTCCCAACAGTCCAACGCCTAGCCATCTGTCCTGAATTTTTTCAGTTTGCAATTAAAAAGGTTCCAAAAAATGATCCTAGCAATACCATCAAAGCATTTCCAAAGGAATTTAAAAACACTACTGAGGGCATGAAATGAGATTATGTCAATCAGCCCATGGAGGAAGGAAAATTCCTCCATGATCAGCCCCCCCCCCCAAAAAAAAGCAGAGCTGGATATAACAGTTTTCTTATTCAGGCCTAATTCACGTAAACATGATCCAGGATTCTTGAATTCACATGGGCTTACTTTGCGCCGGATGCTTCAATAATTTCAGCGAATGCATTTGGGTCGAAGAACTCGGCCGTAAACATAGACGCGAAGTCAGCGTAGGTGAACCCCGGCCTGTAGTTCTCCTTCATGAACTCCACATACGGCGCTTGCGGTTGACCCTGCCAGTACCACCAGAACCACTCTGAGCCGAAGCTGGGCACGGAGAAGACCCCCCAGTGCATGAAGATGCCTATCTTGGCCTCGTCGTACCAGGGAGGCAAGGGTCTGGAGTCGAGTGAAGGCCAGTTGGGCTCGTAGTCATACTCATAGTCGTACTTCACTCGCTTGCCTAAGCACTGGTGAATAGCGCCAAAGAAAATACACAGGGCAACAACAGACAATTTAGTGGCGTATCCAGCCATTTTGTTGAGAATCGAGCCAAAAACTTATGTAGTTAAAACGGCAGGTAAATTACTTGCTACGTCAAAAACAGAGCCTTGGAACTTTCTCAATATCTTGTAAACATCCGATTGAAAGTGCTTAACAATCTGGATTCTCTTCCCGATCAAATAAAACAAGCATAAACTTAAACAGCAAGTTCCCGGACAAACAGGTATAATACGACACACAGTTGTTACAAAACAAGCAGCGCGATTGAATGGGAATCGACTTAGCGAAAGTGCACAAATCAGATGACTATGCACGTGACTCGGTCATGCATGGAGAGAACTACGCAAACATGTGGAGCAAAGCTTAGTACATGGTACTTGAACTATATCAACATGTAGTAATCACATTCAAGGCACTTCAAATTTTGTTTGTTTCTCTGTTTTTATTAAGTTATAGCGCTCGAACTCGCAAACTGCTGCTGCATTGCGGACATATTCTTGTCCTGATCGAATTTGTAACACTCCGACAACTGGACTCTAATTTTTGTATATATTTCAGTTTGCACTAACTTAGAGCTAGGAACAGTTGTTCTATCAGAGAAGAAAATAAAAGATTTAATAATTTTTTAAAACTTACTATGCAAAGTTGTAAACAGCGAAGGTGTGGGAGGGGCGGGGTGAAGTTGATGACTTTGGGCAGTTTCGGCTCGGACAAATTCGGGTAAAACACATTAAATCAGTCAAATTTCCCTTTAGAAATATTACTTTAGTTCATTTTTCTTTCCTTTTCATTTTTTGTATACAAACTAAGCTGCAATCATATTCAAATTTCCAAGCGCACTGTTTTCCCCCTCTTTTTTCTGTCTATTGATATCAACCCCTAAATAAGGGCGGATCCAGGAATTTTTCGAGGGGGATGGCCACCGTGTCGGGTTTTTTTTTTGTCCGTTTGTTGCGGAATGCAATGTTACCAATATACAACTAAAAGCCTTTACAGGATGCAATTTTTTTGTTATTACACTAATTGTTTTAGTTTATATTCATTTGTACACTGTGTTAGAGCGTTTTTCTGTATATGAGTTATCATTTTGCTGTTAATGTGTCAAATTTAGAGTTGCAGGTTGTGCTTTGGTTGTTAGCTAGCTTAATAAGTAAGTCAGTCTCTTTCAGATAACGGTTGAAAAACGAATATATACCAGCAAAGCAATGTAAACTTATTGAAACATTTTCAGTTTTCGTTTGCGTTGGATCCTCTTTTATGCAGACAGGGCCCGGTATTCAAAAAAAGATTGCAACCTCTGCATAATAGGTCTTGCAAAGTAATTACGAATCAGAAGGTAGCCTACTAAACAGTACAAAACAGATTCTGGAGGCACTCGATCAGAGGCCCCGTGACCGCGTTTTCTGAAACTAATGTGTCCAGAATAATTATGGGAAAAAACAGTCTCAGTGGTGCAATTGAAGTTGTCAGTAGAGACGTCCTGGTGTGATAAAAATTTCTTCATGTTTGGGTAGTGACAGGCCGCGGGAATCACAACGTTACTAGAAACACGCTTTCCTCGAACAACGTCTTTGCCGCCTGCCAAAATTTTTGCAGTATTAGATGTAATTACTGTAATTATTAATTTGGTTTATTAAGACAAAGATTTAAAAACGGATTTCACACGATATGGGAAAACACTCAGGCTATAGATGCTCCGGCGCTGGAAGTGTTCCATTTAGCAGATAGGCAACGAATAGAAATGTTGGTGGAATGATTTAAGTAATTTTTTACACGGAAAATTTGTCACTTCAGTGATTTTTTTTTAGAGTCGCTTCCTTGGTTAGTTTTTCAGTTCTTGTGTGGTAGTGTACATGTACTCGAAAAGTCATTTTCTTGGCTCTACTACGGAGGCCGGGATGCAGGCTCATCATCGATATTTAAGGCACTAACATCATTGTCCGCACGCTAATACGCATGCGCATTAGGGGTCAGAAGACAAAAAAAACAGGGGATGTCAACAACAATAAAAGTCTGGCTCCTGCATTATCACCACAGTATAAAGCAATGAAGTAGGTATCGGGGGCATGACCAATAAATCCGACGATTATTTCCATCAAAGGGACAGCTGTAAAGGCAAAAACTGTCAACGTCGGTGGGTTTTTACCCGAGAAATTCCCACGAAAACTCTACTTGCAGGCCATGTACAGACTACAGAGCTGACAGGGCGACAAAGCAGGCCTCATGAACCTCGCAAACCAGCCCGCAGACCCCAGCTCCAACCTCCTTTTCGTGAATTTTAACCAGGATTATACGTAAGCAATAAACAAATTTGCAGCTGTCGCTGGCCGTGCGTTGTGTACGACCATGGTACGACAGGGACGTGTCGCAGTACCGTGCATTGGGTTGATTGCCATTGCATTGGTATGGTGCTGAAATGTTTTTAGGCGAGAATTCTATATTGGACCATCACATTTTATCGAATATCATCAACAATTAAAAGGGGCACCTGAAAACATTAGGGGGATTTAGCGAGGGACATGAGTGATGACAATAATTTTAGTTAGGCTAACGTCATGTCAGGCCTATAAATGATTTGTGAGCTTTTTTGCACATACAAATATTTGTATAGGCCTAGGACTGTCCAACCAACTTTCCCAGCATAGGGCCTATATCAACCTTTTCTCTTTGCCATTAGCTTACATGCTTTTCAAAAGCTCTTCCAGTGTTTGAAAAAAATGTTACATTTTTCTGTATTGACTAAGCCATGAGAATGAAAGTTTAGATTTGGGTCATTCCATGAGGTTGCAGCACACTTTGCTACATGGGATCTGTTAAAATGAACAGTTATTTCCCTGCATGTGGATTCCAAATTGACGTTATACATCTTGCAAGGCTGAATACACAGGTATGTGTTACTTTTACAGCTACTGTAGAGGTCATGACAGGTGGTAAAAGTTTTGGATGTAACAAGGACACCATCACAAATTGTGCCCCAATCTCATGGAATGACCCTTTTGCATTTGGAACATTTTGGAAAAGCATGAGGCTTTTTTCATTATTCATTAATTATTTTTAGCAAGATGGTATGCATATTGGCCGTGCACGGTGCATACCCAGTGCATATGCGTTTATCAGAGAAATTAATCGTTTGTGTAGTAGGCTAGGTGGGTACCTAGGTGTGTGTATTTTATACCCTTTTACTGCTGGCTTTATGATTTGGGATTTGAAATTTTTTGAAAGCTTTTTAGTGAAAATACTGAAATTTTTGGTAAATAATGAATTTTTGGGGCATGTTTTGGAGCATGCAGGCGATGGACGCAAATCTAAAACTTTAATTCTCGTGGCCCTAAGTAGTATTTAATATAGGTTTAACGGATATAAATTGGAAAACAATAAACCATCACAGGAAGCTCACTCTAAGTGTTGAACTCTGAGATAAAATTAAGGACTATATTGTTGACTTCTGCTCACCATGGAGGGTGTATCCAAAATATGATGTGTGAAAAAAAGGAAAAAAAATGTACCTTATACCCTGTAGCCATAACCTCCGAACAGTCTGCCAGGGACTACACTGGAAGTTGGCTGCAGAAGGCTACATGTATGTGGCAAAGGGAGAATTGACCGAAATTGCCTACAAATACATCAGTTGTGGCACATGCTACAGTATACAATGAAAGAGTTACATTGAACGTACAGTGTGTGTAGGACAAAACAAGTTAGCAGTGAATAGTCAAAGTAATATATGTCGCAACTCGTTGTATTGTTTGTTCTCCATGCATCTTTCTTTCATTCATTTGATATGTCTTTCAGTACGTACATGTACATGTAGATGTACAGATATGTTCCATTGAAGTGTCATAATTTTGCTCTATGCGTACATTCTCTATACTGTTGTTGAATTTGTCTTTGTTTCATTTTACATACATGTAGTACCTACTCATCCCATCCTATTAGTATTTGTTTTCATATTTTTTCCTTTAATTTTGAATTTGTTTATGTTTTTATATGTACATGTACTACATTTTATGGTTTCTTGATAAAGCTATAAAATGGCCCCCTCCTCTCTTTTTAAAAAGATGGGCCTACACCTGTGCTTTTACTTCCAGTTGGCGTCACTTGGCTTCCCTCTCTGGTTTATAACATATGAAGAGAAGTCCCTTTTAGAATTTGAACTTAAGATTTCAGACAAGGCTGCCGGTGCATTGCTGAGGACCTTGTCTTTGCCTCAGGGAAGCTTGCAAGAATGTTGTCTTTATCAGGTTTTGAGTAAGCAGTGGTGTCTCTGTGCCACTTGCCGATAAAAAGAAGTGTAACCAGATATTCCCTACACATTTACTCTCGTTTTGCCCCCCTCTTCCTAGATCCCTGGCTGTTGGAGCTAAGACGGGGTTCAGGCTTTTTTCACTCACATCCGTCGATAAACTTGAACAGATTTATGAAAATGGTAATTGTTTCTAATTATATCAACCAGATAATTTGGCTTTAAAGGTGTCAGTGGTTTCAGGCTTGAAGGCTGATTTCTTCTTAAGCTGTTTGCAGACCATTGTAGTCATCAAGCCTTGTAGCGTGCAGTAATCTGTAATTACATTACACAGCTATTAAATCAGCTACTTACTACTTGAACTTTCCTTACAACAAAGAGCAGGGCTTGGATTTGAAGTGAAATCTACTACCTGTAGGGCCAGCTGCTCCAAACTTCAGAAATATTTTCTTCACACTAACATCAAAAGAACACACACTTCCAGTTTGTTGTATTCATTAAATGTCAAAAATGAAATTCCTTAACATTGTATTTGTGAAAATTTAAAGCTGAAATTCCTTCACATTGGTATGTATTGTTCATGCCACTTCCTGATGAGAAACATCTTTTCAAATCGACAGTTTAACAAATCTTCGTTGTTATGAAAAAAAAAATGGTCGTAGATTCGGAGGATATCTGCATTGTGGAGCGACTGTTCTCCAGCAGTCTTGTTGCTGTGGTCAGCCTGTCTGCCCCCCGCAAACTCAAAGTCTGCCACTTCAAGAAGGGCACAGAGATCTGTAACTACAGCTACTCCAACACCATCCTAGCTGTCAAGCTGAACAGACGGGTGGGTAGGATTGTGATTGTTGATTCACTGATTCTAAAGACACAAGAATATATTGATATATCGTGGTACCAAATTTTTGTCTGTGGTGTATGACCGAATTGAAAGCTTTGACAAATGACAATTTCAGGAATCAGAGGTCCAAGCTTGTGAGCAACACATCTTGTAATTGTGTGTGAACTCAGTGGTTAATCTTTCAAGAGATATACGTTTGAAAGGAAAGTTGAGAATAAACAGATGACAGCAACAGTTTCATATGGTGGCATGGGAAAGCAAGACCCAGTTCTTAATTGCAGGACAGGAATTTAACTTAACAAATTAATACAACACTGCAGTGTGTAATCCATTGGATGGTAATGCAAACCTGGATTGGGAACTTCGTAGTTTCTTTTTGCAAATTTACAGAAGTTGAAAATCTTAAGTGCAATGTCAAGCCTAGCGCAGATTTATTTATTCTATCCTGGGTTGCTTATCCTATGGATGTAATTGAAAGGTAAATCAACTCAGGATGGAGTACATTAGATTTGCACAAGGTTCAAGATCGCACTTCACAAAATCACTTCAGGATGGAAATGCTTAGTGACACCAATATTTGTGGATTTCTGTCAGCAGGACCGTGCATCTTAATGGTTTATCCAGCCTTGGCATTGTCTTGTTGCTGTATACATTACTTGTGAAGACACAGTGTGCACCAAGCAACACTCCCCCCCCATCGGTAGAATGAATCGCACTTGCACACTTGTTCATGCCTGTACAATTTACTCATGATCTCAATGTGCAAAAACTCGGAGGATATTCATGTAGGTTCCTTGTGCCCCAACTGAACACTGAGTCAATTTGAAAAATTGAATATTGGAATTTTGAACCTGCTTGATCAAATATTATAATAATTGGTCTTACCAAGTTCCTAGAAGAACAAAAACGGTCAGTGGTGTGGGTGTAATGTTGCTCTGTCAAAGGGTTAACCTTGCTCTGCATCGTTGCTCGATTCACAGCGGCTGATTGTGGCCTTGGAGGAGTCCCTGTACATCCACAACATCCGGGACATGAAGGTCTTGCACACCATCCGCGACACACCGCCCAACCCCCACGGCCTCTGCGCGCTGTCGGTCAACAACGACAATTGCTACCTGGCCTACCCAGGCAGCAGCCAGATCGGGGAGGTACAGATCTTTGACACGGTCAACCTACAGGCGGTCACCATGATCCCAGCCCACGACAGCCCTCTGGCCGCGCTGACCTTTGATCACAGTGGAACCAAGCTTGCCACCGCTTCAGAAAAGGTACGGCATCCCACTTACAAAATAGAAAAAGACTTGACTGTTTAGATATTGCCATATTTGTTTTTTGGACCCAATAACAGCAAAGTATCTCACCCCCACTGTACTTTCTTTTTACCTCTTTAAAGTTTTGAGCCTTTAACAAGTTTGCATAGTTATTTGTTTCAAATGCCAACCTTTGTAAAATGGCATCATTCACTAAAGCTAAGCATTGGAAACAGGAAATAAGAATTTGGAATCTTGGAGAAACTTTAATATCATTTGATAGGTTGGTTGTGGAAAATTTTGTTGGCGTTAATATGCGCTGTTCTGTTTGTGTCTCCAACTCCAGGGCACAGTAATTAGGGTATTTTCCATCCCAGATGGCAAGAAGTTATTTGAGTTCCGAAGAGGAGTCAAGAGGTATGTAGAGCTTGATTTGTTCAATCTGCTCTGGCTTAAAATCTCCTAAACCCCTCTTCTAATTTTATTTACAAATTTACATCTAATCCTAATAAGTTTGAAAACGTTAGAATAATTATGATGTTTAATGTGAAACCCTTCCACAAAATCACATTTCTCTCAAAATTTGGGATAGTGGGATTTCAAACTGAGCATTTCATATGTATTTGTATTTCATATTGTCATATTCAAGTAATTTGCATCTTTTGACTTCTTCATTGTACAGATGTGTTAGTATAAGCTCCCTTGCCTTCAGCTCGGATTCAATGTTCCTGTGTGCATCCAGTAACACAGAGACTGTCCACATCTTCAAATTGGAGGTACCCAAAGAAAAGTAAGTCTGTGGAATTGACACAGTAAATTTGAAGCATTTATCCACGTGTACTGCTGGACACATTTGTCTTATCTCCTTAACCCTACCCTTCCCCAACCACACAGAATTAAACAGTAGTAAAGTGTTTAATTCTATGGGGATAGGTCTGGTAGGCCCATAGCAGCTGGCATTTGCTTTGGGTTTGGCATACCTCAGAAAAACAAAGTCCAACAGCCTTTGAGCACAAAGTCCCATATGAGTGTTTAACTTTGTGTGAATGGGGAAGAATAGGGCCAGCAACCCTTGGGGGGGGTTAGGGTTAAAGTACATGTAGAACGTAATGCATGTACCATTAATTGTTTGTGGTCAGAAGTATAGGCCCAAGGACATGTATTACAAAGCTAATTACTATTGTGGACTGAGTTTGTGACTTTTGTCTAGTTATTTTTCTGGAGACATAGCCTTATGATTTGGGTTTGTAGCTCCTGACCATAATAATGAGTGCATTTGTGTAGGTCTGTCTCATTGGATGCCATCTTTGTAGGAAAATTGCAACTGCCTTTACAATGGCTACAGGTGCGTGTGTGTTCGTGGTTTGTAAAATGTTCTGAACTTGTGGGCGTGCGGATCCAAATATATTCAAAATACGGCGCCGCCGATGGGCATTAAGAAAATTGGAAACAAACAATGCCGATGCACGTGGCAATCTGTAGGAGGTGATGTCATATTTGAGAGAGACCTATCGCCAAATTACCAGAGGACACAAGGCTCTTACCATTGTTATACCTGCTCACTGGGACACAGACGTGCCTAAAACCATCTTAGCTCCCTGTGGAGAGTTTACAGCTCAATGCTGCTATTTCTGGTGCAAACGGCCAGTCAAAAATAACAGCAATCTCTACTCGACACAGGTACCCACTTAAACTCCTAGTTGGAGAGAGGCAGGTGGGAATAAAGGCAGTGTTTGTTTCACACTGATCTGGATCATGATCAGTGATCTATCATTTGTTAACAGACACCAAAACTTGCCTAATGGATGGTGCGAATCAGATCCGTGTGAAAAAAAACAGGCCCAAAATGACTCCCAGGGTCATAACATGTTAGCCAGCAGCTGGATTCGAACCTCCCCCCCGACCCTATGTTTGTGGGTTGCAGCCCCTAACCACCAGGCCTCTTGCCGCCAAGGGTTGGGGTTGGGGGTTCAAATCAAGCAATTGGTATGACAACATGTTGTGATCTTGGGCGAGCCACTTTACCCCTGTGTGCCTTTTACCACTCAGGAGTAAATGGGTAACTGACTACTTTCAGGAATATTCAGAAGTACATCTGATGAGTAGAATAATGATAATACGTTGCACCTCTTGAAAAGAAAAATCCAGATATTGTCAGACATTGAGCACTTTTTAAGTGCTCTGATGTTTTCTTTTTGGCTTACTTGAATGCAGATCCACAGAGGAGCCCACAAGTTGGATGGGATATCTGGGCAAGGCCTTGATGACCCCAGCCAACTACCTACCTTCTCAGGTCACCGAGGTCTTCAACCAGGGCAGGGCCTTTGCCACTGTCAAGCTGCCGTTCTCTGGTCTCAAGAACGTCTGTGCTCTTGCCAAGTAAGGCTTGAACTGCTATGCAGGGCTCACCGTCAGAGGTTGCACTTGATTCAGCACGCTATTTTTTTAAAGGCGAACAGTGTGGAATTGAGTGGTATGCGAGCCAGTATGCTCAACTGATTTTGTACCCATTCAGTCGAGAAATCAATCAAATTGCCTTGTGTGTGTCAAGTTTGCATCTGTTGTTGGAGTTCTCTAAATTCTTGTCAGGGCCATGGTAATTGAAGGAATGGTTGCCCAATCATGCAGTTGAACTTCAGAAAATAAATTAGATTGTCATTTTAGGAATGGGTGGAGTCAAACATACAAGTAGGTCCTTCACTGTCAGTGTCAGTCAACATCCTTTGTCAGTTCCAGTTATTTCCACTCGTTCATCACTGATCAGGATGGAATTTCAACCTCCCATTTCTACAGTATATCCAAGCCTAGAGTTCTTGTTGCAGCAGCCGATGGCTTTTTGTACATATACAACCTAGATCCAGTGGATGGTGGTGACTGTACACTACTCAAGCAGCACAGGTAAGAAGCTCTCTGTTGTATTGTTATGAAGATGACAAAGGCATAATCCACGTCTTGTAATTTTATTGTTGACTGGTTCTGCTAGGTTCACCTTTTCACAAATTTCAAGCCCTTCTGTGATTTGTTGAAGGAAGGTACAATCAGGATACAAGACAAGACGGATGTTTGGTGATATATAGGGGAGTTCCCTCGAAGAGATGCCCAGAGGGTCGTTTGGCTAATTTAGAAATTGAAATGTTTCGGTTCAAGGCATTAACCAGTTGCTGCCGGGTGGATTTTTCTTGAGGTAGACAAGATGCTGGCTTATTTTCATGATTTTCCATTTTCAAAGTTCTTCAAAAATTCATCATTTCATTTAATGGCCGTTTATACCAAAATGAAGGACTCTTTGGGCACTATTCTGAAGCTGACAGGTAAAATTCATTGACTCCTGAATATTTCAGCCAGGCCTGCAGCCTTGGAAAAAGAGCCCAGATTGTGCGATGTTACGTAAGATTCTTTTGTTCACGAAACCGGCACAGTGCACTGCTGACCTCTTTTCAATAGGGGCCAGATTAGCGTGCAGCAGTGCTGTGTGGCTCATTGCTGCAATGGGGGAGAGCTTTTGTCCCCGGTGGTAATCCGCTCGCTCTAAATGCCTCAAACTATGGTATACTGTTTCAAAACAAGGCTCGATTTTCTCCACTATTGAGAGCGAAAAAATGTTGGTAATGCCCAGCAGCTCAGTCTTTTGTGCTGAGCACGGTCTTTTGTTATAAGGCCCAACTCTTTTGTCCCGTTCCGGGCTTCCCTGCTCTGAATATAAAGCCTATGTACTCGAAAACTGGTCGCCCGGCAAGAAGTGATTAAGTAACCATTTCACTGACTTAAAATTTGTTAGTAACTGTGATTTCTGGATCCTCGAAATGAGCCTTAAGTACATACTTTATGTTTTATATGTGCCCAACCTTCAAAGCTTTTTATTCTGATAATTACTGATTGACTTTCTAATATTACAGTCATTATTTGGCAGTTAATTTCCATTATGCCAGACGTGCCAAAAAGCCTCTACTTAGAAGTTGTGGGGACATGCAATTCATTTTCTCAGGTCGAGCCACCTTTTTTCAATTTCAATTTTAGATTGGATGGCCAAGTGGAAGGAGCCGAGGGCGGCCATCTTGCCAGCAGTGGCAGTGGTGGGATAGCATCAGGACACACTGCCACAGCAGCATCTGACCAGCCGGCCAGCAGTAGCGGCAGGCCATATCCAGGGGCAGCTTCATTCGCAGCAGCGGCTGCAGCAGGAGCCAGGCAGGAGCCGCTGTCCTCGTCTCCTCACCGATCACCTGCCAGAGGTTGGCCACAGATCTCTACTTTTTGATGCCATGTTGCACATAAGAAAACCTTCCGACATGGCTAAAGCAGGTTTTGCATGAGTGCAAATTAACCCTTATAATCCTAATAATCCTTAGTCCTCCAACTATATGATGATTTTGCACATATCCTGGGGGTCGGGTTTGAATTATGAATGTCAGAGATTACATTGGCCACATTTTAAACAATCAACTCAAGTTCCTAGGTCTTTTTGCATCATTGCTGGGTCACCTAATTCAGTGTAAGCCTTGTGCCAGCAGTCCCCAGCCCTGGGAGGGCCTGAGAGAATGTCATTTGGCATCTCAGATGTACATTTAAGCTGTAAAAGAGTTTGTCTTGGATCATGTGATAATAGCAACACTGTATGTCTTGACACACAACTTCCGACCTTGAGGCAGGGTTGGTCAGTCGGGGAGGGGGGAAAGAGGGTAAAAAAGGCAGAAGTTTATCATTTTGTTCTGGGTAGGAAATATCAGACAGAGTCGGCATAAAAGAGTTTTTTCTTCGGTCAGAATCGAAATTAAGGGTTGGTCAAAAATGAGAACCATAGAATCACCTACAGATGGCCTGATACTCCGGCTTACATTTGTGCAAGTGAAATGCAGCCAAGATTTAATGCACAGAGGGTGTGAGTCACGCTTTGACTTTGAATGGGTCTGTTTATGTTGACAGGAAGCCCAGCACGGCAGACCCACGATGCAGGTGCCAGTGATCTCCTAGGGGCAGCCGCTGAGGAAACACACCCCTACGACCCCCAGGCTGGACTGAACACGCTCCGACTCGACGACGACAATGAATTTCCTCCAATGACGCACCACACTGACTCGCCCTAGTGCCTTGCGCACTCGTGAAGGCACTTCTGCACTTCCCCCAAATTTCCAACTTGACCACTTGCATTTACAGCGTGAAAAACTGCCAAATCTTTTGCAAGGGAGCACCACTTGTTGAGTCAATGGATCCCATTCCTAGAAGAGAACAGAAAAATGAGCGGTGTATTTTTTTAATTACTCCATGGATGAGGAATGCATGTCTCTGGAGCTAACTTCACATTACCGCATTGCACAGATTTCAAGCTGCGTTATAGCGCATACTGGCTGTCATTTCAGTAACAGTCATGTCAGTGGCAATTTAATGCTGTTAAACCGATTGCAAGGGTTTGTTCGTGAAGCACGCACAGCCATAATGGAAGTTGTGTGAAATTGTGACTAATTGTAAAATGTCCTAACTGCACACATACACATACAAAAACAAGGTACTTTGTTGAAATACATTGAATCTCTGCACTGCAGCTGCTTTTGCTCCCGACCAGTTCAGTACACACACACCTGCATTTTCTGTGTGTTGCTGCTTTTTCTTTCCAGGAAGTTATGGTGTACAAAATACAGTGAAACGAGAGGAGTTTGTACAGAGTTTTAATGCTGAATTTCAGAGCCGGCAATGTAAAAAAGTTTCAGTTGGGATCATTTTCATATGCTATGATTTTTCTTGTCCAAGTGATTCGCTTGAAAAAAATGTGATGTTTTATCTGTTCTAATTTAAACAAAAATATGGTGAAATACAATATGGTGAAAACGCTCTTGAAGGTACCTATATGTATAACCTTTTACAAGTTCAGAATTTATTGAACAATCAGATTTATTAACGAGTACTGTTTAGCTGATTAGATTAGATGTGCTATTTGCTCAAGAAAAGATTTTAAAGAATTTTTTAATGGATGTGACTTGGAGTTTACTGTCATCCTCCTGGCTTTTTTTTCTCTTTTTGATCGAAGTAAAAAGGGCTCACGCAGATGGCCACAACAAGCAGTGTTACGTTTTGACATTTGCAGAATTATTTCATGTTCTTATTCATCTAAGTGTCAGCCTTTGTAAGTATGTACAGGATTTGTCCAGTTGCCACTCATCAACACAATCATTGATAAAACATAAAAGCACAACCCTGTCTAATTCAACTGAATGAACTTTCCAGTAAAATCCTACTAACTGAGTCCTAATGACGTCTTCTGACAGACTGAGTCGAAAAAAAACACTTGGGTTTTCAGTTTGGATAGCTCATATGGATGAAAAATAGACACCACTGTCTATATGCCAACAACGTTTCATTTTCTCTTATTTACACTGTGCAAATTCTTTGCCAAAGTTTACAGATTGACGACTTTTCCCAGGTGCAGCCATATGCCAAAGTAAAACCACTACTAAATAAACATGCTTTGAAACACAAAATCTGCATTCCCACAACTGAAGAATGAGAAGGCCACACCTCTGAGGGAGGAAACACCGTCGGACATGTTCCTTTTCTCATTTGTGGAATTGCAAAATTTAATGTATTCGCCATTTAACAAGGAATAATAGCTTTCTAATCATATGAGATAAGATTACCCAACCTACTGATCCTTTTCTTATTGTAAATGCTGACCTCAAACATCGCTGCACTTGGTTGGAAATTTGAAATGAGCTAAATAATGAAAATGTAAATATTGTAATCTATACATGTGTTTGAATAGAACTAATAACCAATTACCGGTCAATTAAACGTTCAAAAAGTGAATATGACTAACGCCAACCTTCCAATGTAAGTTTAAAGACCAACACAGAAAACAAATTCACTTTAAGGAAAATAAAATTTTATGCCCCCCCAAAAAAAACCCCCACAAAGTTTGGCCTCCACTCCAAAAACTTGGCTCTGAACGTGCCCTTTGCAAGTGCCTAGCCTGGATTTTGTGTGCCCGGGGCAAACTACAAATTTGTTCCGAATACGATGTATTATTCAGTGGCGTGGGGCTTCTTGGGGGTACGTGCCCTCCCCCCGATAAATTCCAGGTGCCCCCCAATGAAAAAAAAAACCAGATGAATGGATATTGAACAAGGCTAACAAAAACTTAACCCCCAAAAACACACCACTGAAAGCTGGTGCCTCCCATAAGATGCTTGTGCCCCTTTGTGCCCCCCCCCTCAGTAAAATCCTAGCTACGCCACTGAATCCATCACTCGTTGGTTCTCCAGCCCGATGCAACCTCCTTGGCTATAATACAAACCACAGAAGTTTCAAGATGATACGTGAGATATCGAGAATACGCAAACTGAAACGCGCATGAACTCTGAACCAAACTTCATCTCTTACTCATTGCACGGTTGCCCCGATATTATTTTATGGTCTTTCTAGCTATACAAGCAAGGTGTTATGGGGTGTTCTCAATTTTCGCACTGAAGTGATAAGGTCTTTTCTCAGTGTGAAAAAAGAATAAAATTCCATTTTTCCCCCCAGACACAGAACAGACACAAAAGTGAAATAAAATTCAATGAAAACAATGCTATGAGTAGTTTTCCCTCTAAATCTGTTTTCAAGGATATTGATGTAGGATCTCATTCATTTATTAGAGGAAAAGGATGGATTTTCTTGGGAAGATTTTTTTCAAACTAAATTTCAAGATGTCGCCAATGTAGTGTGGTCATTGATCTCCGTTATAAAGACTTTATAAAGTCTTTATAATGGAGATCAATGAGTAGCGTTCATTCATTGATCAGTATTCAAGATGCTAATGTAGGGAGCTCAGTAACACACCTGAAAATTTCCATTCAGCCAGGTAACGGTTATGAAACATTTTTCTTTTTTTCTTCTGGGCGATCAACAGTCAACAACATCCTAACTCCCCCTTTAACCAGCCAATAGGGTAAGCAAGCATTTGTGTAAGTGTATATACAACTGACTTTACACTGAGCCCGCTAACGGTGAACGCAGCATTGCCTAATAACTAATTGACACCGAGCCAGCTAACGGTCCAAAATGCTTTTGCCTAACTTTCTACGGAGCATGACGCCCAACGGTCAGGAAATATTTTGCCTAACTCTCCATTGAACGAGCGGTCTGGAAACGTGCCTAACTATCATGTAAGAAGTGTTTGCCGAACTTGCACTGAGATAAACAAAAATAGTACAAGTATTGCCATACTTTCTCAGTTTAAAGAAGACCATAGACCTGGAGGAGAAAAACAACAAGTCATTCATCATGCGTTATGTCCCTTTTTTCCGTTATACATCTCAGCTGAAAACTCGCCCAAGTCCGTGAAAATTTTGACAAAATTGCTCAGAGCCTGGCACTGGGCTGGCCCTGTGGAAAGTTAGGCAAACATCTTCTGACCGTCATCATCTGTTCGGCAAGTTAGGCAAATATTATATCACGACCAGTAGCTTGCTCATTGGAAATGGAGGCAAATCAATTCGCGGAAGTACATTGGCTCCTCATTGGAAAACTGGAAAAATTGTTTCATTACTGTTATTTGTGGCTTGGTGGAAAATTAGACGCAACTTTTTCCTGACTTGCACGTGGCTTGTGTTGTTTACGTTTTACATTGAAACTCTTGGTGGCACTATTCCACCGTGAACAACCGGCCCATCGCGCGGAAAACCCAGGTTTGATTATTTTCGTTACAGTATTAAGCAAAAAATGCACGGTAGTAAAGTTGCTGACCGTCTTTGTTTTATTTATTATTTCTAATATTAGTTTCTAAGGGATTGTTTCCGTACGTTGGGGAATTCGGCCTCCCATTTTTTGTTAGCAAAGTGTTAGGCGCGAGGCGCGATATCATTCCTACCTCCATCATGTCCATGGTCATACTAGGCCTACAGGCTACATGTACAGTTATGTGAGTTAACAATTGTTGCCTGCGGTGTAGGGGTCATTGGGGAAAATGTTGCATCCTGACTCCACTTTTCTCATCATATATCATCTCAGTGAAAGTCAGTCATTACAGAAATGCCTTAGACACGAATTCTGGATTTTTCTGTCATTGGTGTTTTGTACGCCCGAGGGGGCAACCGTGACGATTGTTTTTTATCTGTAATATGTGCATATTTTATTGCAAGATCAATTAAAACACTTTGACAAATTGAAATGTGAACAGTAAATTAGATCATGGAGGTAGGAAAAGATAAATGCCAAGGAAAAGTTTTGATTGTGATGTCCTTCGTTGACTGATGTATGATGTTTTTATTTTTTTGCAGGAGGGGAGAAATCTAGGATTTATAACAAACGTATTTAATCGAGAAACCTGTGATCCATAAAGGATGGGGGTTTTGTCTAGTGGTTGAACTCAAGACATTATTTAACAACAAGATCCGGTGAAATATATTGACAAGTTTGAAGAGCAGACGAGAAGAAACAGTGGCGTGAGCATTTCATATAAACAGCAGTGACGATCGCAGCAGAAGCAGTGATCAGAGCATACTCTCGTTCCACAAGAAAAATAGTACCACTGCGGCTATCCACCCTCGTACCCAAACTTACACAATTACAATGCAGTAGACGCGACACATCAACTCTGGGAAAGATCACCATGATCCATCTTTTTTTTTGTGGCCTGGCAACATTGCCACTGTGCGCGACTATACGCTTGTAACAGTCATGTTATCAGTTCACAAGTTCCAATAAAAATTCACAATCTATGACCGTGGTATAGCAATACATGATGTAGCCCAGGTCAGGTGTGGACTCCCTGACTGTTCTACTTGTACATGTACATGACGGAGGGAGTCCAGGATATGAAGGGTCGAAAAGGGGTGAAAAATTTTGCAACTGAAATTTCAACCTGGACGTTATACGCGCCCAGTCGTAACGTAATGAAGACCTCGGCTAGATGTAGGTCAAGGTCAATCCGTGCGATCACTCGATCTGTCCATAATTTCATCTACACAGGTGATTTCCCATTCTAATTCATGGCTGTGGAAGGCTGTCAAGTTGGAGATTTCAAACAGCATCACGCCCAACTTATTCCGTGTGTTTTTCCGTGAACATCAGGCACACAGTTTGTATTATAAAGCCAACGTTGAACTGACATGACTGATAACATAACAATGTAACGTTCTAAGAACAATGATTGAGGTGTAAGGCTGTCAGTGCAAGGGCAGTAGAGATGCACAATGCAACTCAGGGACTGTCCCTGTATTCAGAGAAGTCTCTTCATTTGAGGACAAAACTAATCCTCTGAAAGAGAGAATGTCTCCTTAAAAGGGAACATTTTTCCCAAGTGGGCTTAGGCCAGAAATATTCACATGCTATTATCAATTTTTTCTCTCCTATTTTCCATTCATATTTAGTTATTTAAGTTGTTTTTATGAACTTTCTGCCATGTCGCTTGATTAACTATGTCATAAAGAATTGACTTTCAGAAAAAATTGTTTTGATGCGGTCTTTTTCCCACCTTTTATGTTCCATTGCAAACTCCTGCCTGTAATCCTAGAAGTAAACTGTAGATTTTTTTTTAAACAGCAGCCTTCAATGTTTTCTTCTGCCGAATCCAATTAAGACATTAAGAGATCCTCATGCCCACTTGAAAAAAATTGTCCCCGTTTAGAGGGACATTCTCTCTTTCCGGGGACTGATTTTGTCCTTGAATAAAGGGACTTCTCCAAACACAAGGACAGTCTCTGAGATGTCTTAGTTGTGATGTGCGCCTCTACTGAATGGTGTGGGTTCAAATCTGTGTGCTGGCAATTGTATTTTTTTTCATTCCCCAGAAAAATGGCACTTTTATTTTTTGGTTTGAAATTGATATTACGAATTGCAGAATATCTTACTTTCTTGTCATGATTCATGGCAGAATTCCATCTCATGAATAGGAATTCACAGTGACAGTGTGGGCTGCAAGCAACGTGAAAATTTGTTGCAGTAAAATTTTAAATAACTGACCAACACTCACCACATATGTTACATGAAGGATGCCTTGCCAATACAAGAGCACTGACATATTAGGGATCGGTTTATCCACTGCCTTTTCAAGTTTGATATTGCCTTATAAATACATGTTCATCTTTTGATCGTTTAGCTTGAGTGAATCTTCGATTGTCTAGAAGACCTTGCCTTCCTCTGTTATGAGGGTCTTCTTTCCCGACTGCATCATCAGTGCCAGGAGTGGTCTGTGCATTGGTTGGATAGATGTTCGACTGCACACCATCTATGTCCTGGCTGTGGTCCACTTGCCGTTTGATCTGCATGAAATACTGAGATGGCTGCAGGTGTGTTAAAAAACTTCCACTCCGTCCAAAATATGCCATTTTGAATAACTGGATACTGAGAGTTTTGAAACTTTAGCAGATATGCAAGAACCATTCACTCCAGTAAAGAACGTGGTTACACTTTTCTGAACCTGACATGAATGAACCTCTACGTACACTCTTACATGTTGAGGAGACAACAGTGAGCTAAACAGGCAAGATTTCTCGTTGTCGTACGTTCATATCAAACACGTCTCAGTAGGAGGAGGGTGGGGGTTTGGGATGGGAAAAAAAGAGAGAGAAGAGATGGATGAAAAGAGATTGATAGACTAACAGTTGGGAGAGGGGTCATTCCATGAGGTTGGGGCACAATTTGTGACGGTGTCCTTGTTACATGGGTAACTTTTGCCACCTGTCATGACCTGCAGAGTAGGACATTTACTTTGTAAAAATAAAACACACCCGTGCCTTGCAAGATGTATAACAATGTCAATTTTGAATCCACATGCAGGGAAATAACTGCTCATTTTTATGGAACCCATGTAACAATTGACACCGTCCCATATTGTGCCCCAACCTCATGGAATGACCCAGAGACTGATGCTTTGGTTGCATAAATTCTTTCCCAAGTGGGCAAAATGACTTCAATATTTAGCTAAAACCGTAGGCTTTGTTGGGGCTAACTTCAGTTGCTAGGCAGTTTGCACAGTCGGCCGTTGTCAAATTTGCAGATGGAGACAATCACCAGACAGAGACCCCTGACTGTAGTCGGCTCGCTGACCCACCAGGGGGACCCAAACAGGGCCGTGATACAGCAGCTCGGCCGGCAGGCCTCGGAGAGATTCTGCCTAGAGCTCACGAGACCCGATGTCTACAGCCTACCCACGTGCATGCTGTTAGAAGATTGCGAAGCCACATCAGCAGACCCCGTCCTCATCCTGTACAACCAGAGACAGATATCAGCATGCTCGCTGCCAAATAAGAGTAGTGTAATGAGAACATCGTCCGGCTTAAGTTCGTTTGACCCGTCCACGTATGGGGAAAGAGGTGATGGCACAGTCCAACCACAGAGAATGGGTCTTCAAATTGAAACAGTCCTGTCGGTTATTCAAGAAGGGGTGCAGCAGTTACGTATGTTCAAGGACTGGGACATCTCCATGGATGTCAAGACTCAAGGTGGCATATGGTCAGTTATCCGTGGGCTCCTTGCATCCCTTACGTCCGTCTTGGTTTCCATGGGAACCCTCGTCTTACTGCCATTCCGGAGCGAGCTTTGCCACAGGTGATTTTTTGTAGGATCTTGAAACCATCTTCATGGACCTGCATAACACAGGAATGTCCACAGTGCTGCAAAGATTTGCCCAGAAAAATGAGTTAGCGGCCTAATGTAATGAGTTTTACACTGTTGTCAAGTGGTACTCTGCTACCTTCTGAATTTGCAGCCTCATAGCTCAATGGAAGTGAGTTCTCTTACAGGACTTGCCCAGACTTATTTATCAGTCGTTGGCGAGCCCTACATTTGATGCAGCAAAATAATGAATTGCCCCATCCTTCAAAATTTACTTTGGAGTTTAGAGCATTTTGCAGGATTTAGGAAAGAACAATCAAATCACTTTAATGTGCATGGGGCTTGCGTATGCTGTCTAGTCAAGTGTGAGATCATGCATAGATTTCATACAAATAGAAGGATTTTGTAGGCTTTAGGAAGGTTCTGTGATGCTAAATGCCTCGACAGTTTAAGTGAACTGAGTGTTGTGTAGGGAAATAATCTTTCAAAGTTAAACAAGTGTTTAGATTGGGCAGACTTTGAAATGGAATGAAGATCTTTGGTTTTGGTTGTTGAATTAACCCAAACAGTTCAAAATCCTCCAATTTCAATTTACTTTTGTTTCCTGAAATTGTTTGTGAAAGGAAGGCAGGAAATTATGAAAAATACTACAGTGGAACCTCATTAGTACTAGCTCTGTTAATACAAGTTTCTGCTTAAAACAAGGACATATTTGGGCCCCAGTCCTTTGTGTTTCATTGTTTTAATTCCTAACACACATGGTTCCTGTTATAACAAGGTAATTTCCCGAGTCCGAAGGATCTCATATTAATGAGATTTGACTGTGTTAGTTTTGAGTTCATCTTAGGCGGTCATTTCTTTTTCTCTTTGGGCAGACTGTCAAGCATTCCAAGTTTCCAGAGAGCACTGACGTTCACCCAGACAGGTTGTCAGATACAGGCCAAGTACAATCACGTACAAGACTTGCTGGATGCGTACACCACTACTGGTGGTGAGAGGCACACAGGCAGAGGAGAACCAGTGGAACAGACCAGCTTTTCAAAAAGACTTGAATATCTGAGGTAAGCTGCTCTGGTCGATGAAATTTGCCAGTCTGAGCTCTGGGATGGAAGCAAATTAGTTTGGAAAAGACTGGAGTGGGTTTGCATCCTAGAGGGGCATAATAGTCGGATATTGGTCGCATTTTGATGGAGAAATGCTCAGAAACTTAATTCCGGAAGTGGTTCCTTCCAAAAGAGCTTTGTTGTAAAATTGGTAGAGTTTGACCTGCAGTGGTCAAGTTTGTGGAGACTTTGAACATCAGAATTTCCTAAACCTGTGAAACCTTTGATTAGAAGAAACACTGTGAGAATTGCTTACTTGTAACTTTCTATTCATTGATTTTTGCTTAGCCTGTGAAATTTGCCCAAGCAGTAATTTCTGGCCATAGCCTCTCTTTGAAATGGGCTTTGGATGAGAAGTCCCTCGTCAGTGTTCCTGAGCAAGATACTGTACCACATTTTGCCTTTCCTTCACTCAAAGTTTTTGTGCTCAAAATGACCCTATCAAACATATTAATTCAAGACCAATGGTTTGGCTCTTTTTTTTCCTGTAAGGACCTGTAACCTGTTTACATACCTTCTGCTAGACGTGCTGCTGGGAGTGTCTCTGATGTGCTGGATTCATCACAACAGCTGGCCAGATGTCTGGGCAGAATGGATCATGTCCTCGGCCAATGTATGTCCCACCCATGGCCTAATGGATCTTGTCACTGATCTAGACACTGTTCATGCTTAGATTAGGTTTGGAAGAATGATGCTATTAACATTTAATTGGGACCAGATGTCAAGTGTTTTAAGCATTTTAAGGAATGTCATGCAATTATTTCAAGCATTTTAAGGAATTTTTCCTTCACAACTCCACTTTCCATGTGCGTATAAGGAGATACCATTTTGGGATGACATGCCGATGAATATGGACTGAATGGAGGTGGCAAGTTGCCTGTTTTTGTGGATTTCTGTCATGGAAGATTATGTAAGGGCTTTAAGTAGATCTGGTGACTTCAAACTCATTTTGTAGGTTGGCCCCATTGGTCTACAATCGTGCGCGAAACTACTGTCAGCTATTAACCCCTTGACGCCGGGACTTTTTTCTGAAAGGGAACTCCGAGAATTCCAGCCTCGCTTGGTCACGAAGGCCACCTGCCAAACCGCAAATTCTCGGTTTGTGGCCCTGCGAGCTCTGCATGCTTTGATTTACACTGTGAAAAGGCTCATTGTTTGGTGACACGCGGCTCTATTCACGCTTCCACATTTCCGTTGCCTCTTTTCAAAGTGGGGGACTATTGTGAAGCTGGTGATTATGATGCAAATTCGGCCTTTTCATTTCTTGGCAACACACAAAGGCCAATCACCATATATACAAGAGCCAGGGTATGCTTTCTTTCACCGTGTTCACTCGAGCGTGGACAGAGAATAACAGCTGAAAAGCGGGCTGAGGGATTAAGGGTCAAACTTCAGCTGTTTACAAATTGGGACTGTAGGGCTCTCACTCATCTTTTTTTTGTTTGTTTTGTTTTTGCAACTAAAGACAACTGCCGGGTCTCTGCAGATGTTGCTGCAGTGGCTGATGGGAGCCCCAGCTGGCCTGAAATTGAACAGCGCCCTTGCTCACTTTCTGGGCCAGTTCTTCCTGTATCATGTCTACCTTTGGATTGGTAAGAAATAAAGAAAGAAAAACAGATAAAGATGGCAATATACCAGCATCTGTGAATGATGGATATTGTTAGACACATGCACTGTGCACCTTATTAATGCATTGATGATATAATATGGCAGATTCTGTCTTATTCCATGACTGTTAGATTTAAACTAAATGTACCTAAATTTGATTTTTTGCAATGCCAAAATGGTAAATGTAATAAGTTGGGACTGTGAACAGTGTGCGTCAGTGATGAAAATATAAACACCAACACAAGGAGCATTTTACATTAATGATTCACAGTCAGGGCGAACAGTTTTTTGAATGTTTGATCCTGAGTTAATAACCTTTTTGCAAGTTAACTTTGACCAAAATCTGGTACACTGAGTTCTTTAAATTCACGTGAACATACCGACTTGAATTCTCCTTACTAAAACTGCCGTTGCTATACCTCGTGATTCGAGGCATGCTTTTGCTTAGTTACATAAGAGACGCCTTGCAACAATGCACTGTGGATAAGAAGGGCACAACGGCACCAGTCCATTTCAGAGACGGTGGTCGCTATGCGAAAGCTTGCCCCGATTCACAAGGTATAACAACAGTGTCTTTTGTTTGGGGAATTCAAATCGTTATGTTTATGTGCAGTCATATAACTCAGTGCACCAGATTTATTCAAATGCAACTCGCAAATGGCTTATTGATTCTTACCCTTATTTGTACTTCCTATTTCTGGTGTTCAATCTCACCAAGGCTCCCTTGAGGATGATACTGTAACCTTGTAAGCCAGAAGCAACTGACAGAAGACAATGAAGAAATGGAATCATTTGCATGCAGTGTCACATAGTTTTGTGAAGTCTTGTTTACTTGTTTACAAGAGAATCCTGCACCATTCATTACTCTGTCAAAGGCCGTCCAACTGACTGGTGACAGTTGATGTTGTTTAGTCACTGTGCGTTCCTTGCCCTACCTGTATTGAACTTGTAATTTGCTTTGTAATAGACGGAATGATAACTTCTCTTGCTGCAGCTCTGCTTGTAACATTGCAGTCTTTGTCCCTAGGTTATCTGTCCGCCATGCAGCCAGTGCTCAGCTGGGTGATTTGGTGCATGTCTCTGACGGGTTGTCTGGGGGTATCTGTCATCCTGGCCGTAGCGTGTGACATGGTGTCCATGCTGACCTTCCACATCTACTGCTTCTATGTCTATGCCGCCAGGTGAAACACAAAATCTCATGTTTCTGTGTAACAACCCTTGTGTTATTACAAAGAAAATGTTCATACTGGCTGCAATGGTGTGTCCCTGAGGAAGATATTTTACCACAACCTCTCTGTCCAACCTACATCAGCACATCGAAGTTTCAAGTAAAATTTTACTGGACCAAAGGGTGGACTGCTCTCAAGGATTACTTTTAACGGTTTTTCCCAAAGAACATTCCAAAATAGGTAGAACAGATATGGGTAATTCCAGAAAATAAGGGGTCCATTTTTGGTGAGCTGCGAAGCAAGTGCGAGCCTATGTAGGAGGATCATGGAGACAAGGTACATGTATGTAGAAAGTGAATGAAATGCTGGATAAGGTTTGCATAATGGTTGGGCTTGATGGGACAGCAAGACTACGGAGTGAAGGGAATGGTGGGGAGGGAGCAGAGTAGGAGATGAATGGGATGATGGGGAGGGGGCGGCGTAAGAGATGGATAGGATGTTGGGGAGGGGTGGAGTAGGAGATGGATAGGATGATGGGGAGGGTGGAGTAGGAGATGGATAGGATGATGGGGAGGGGGCAGAGTAGGAGATGGATAGGATGATGGAGGGGTGGAGTAAGAGATGGATAGGATGATGGAGGGGTGGAGTAGGATATGGATGGAAAGATAAGGTGGATGTGGGATTGGAGATAGATGGAATTAGGGGTGCATGGAGTCAAAGTAGACATGGTAGATATGGGATGATGGGATATGGATGATGGGGGTAGAATTGTAGAAGATAGCATGATGGGGTTGGATACAAAGTGCAGAACTGTACTTTAAAGGAATTTTAATTGTGCACCATCCATCAAACTCACAAATGTACTTATTATATAATCATCCAGGTCAAGTCTGATTGGACTGGACCCACATTCTATAGGCATTCCTCTCTCCTGTAAAGAACTGTGAAGCCTTTGTACCTGTATCTCCCTTGTTGGTGGTCTTTATTGATCTACTTTTAAACGACGTGCGCATTTCAACACACAGCCTACATACAGCACTAACTCCTAGGTTTTTTTTCTCCTAGAGTACAATTTATTTTATTGCTAAGGTGGATAAAATATCTTGGACATCTGTATTGCAGTCGTATGTCAAGCAATCTTATTTTGATGAAGTTTGGTTAGTATTTTCTTGTTTAATTTAGTAACAATATTTGTATAACTTGGATTTCTCTTTCAAATTCATAACAAGCAGCGAGCCATGGCGGCTTTGCCGTTCTAGTCCGGAAACCCAGGGCTTGGGGAATCAAAATACCTACACTACCAATATCACTATGAATTGCAGCACCGTGAATTTGCAGTTAATTTGCAGTTTCACTGTGAAATAGTTTTTTCACTGCAACTTTATGGCAGTTCACATGCTACATCGTCGGCTTTGTTATTCCACCACTTTGTATATAGTTTCACAGTCTCTTGGCAATTCCATAATTCGGTGTGGTAACTTCACCACTCAATGTGCCTTTTGCCCACAATAGTTGGAAATATTCATATGTCTTCTGGTATGTGGTCAGGGGGGGGTGTTGTGACATGTAACACCAAGTTTCGTGGAATTTTATGAATCGTGTCACATTTTAGGGCTGAAAAAAACTTGTGTCCTTCCTCCATGGTTCTACATAAGCAAAATGTGCTTATCAACTTTTCAGCTGCATCCGGCAAATTTGAGCCATCGTACGTGTATCCATCTCTTCTCACAGCTCAAAAAAGGAAAAATCAATCCTGTCTTTCCTAGGACAGACAGGATTCTGTCTTCACAAAACACCTGCTTTACATTCACAACATGTGGAAAGAAAGTTTTGTGGTTTTCACAAGTTCCCTTCGCATTTCGC